AAAAATCAGTACCTATCCAGAATTTTGCTTTGTAATGTTTTTATTTATTTTAAAATAATAAATAGATACAAATAATTATTTACCAAATATTTGTTCCCAGATTTCTTCTATTAATGCTAAATGTTTTTGAAATTCTGGCTGGAACTCTTCTCTTCGCAATGGAGAGTAACGAGGAGCACAATTATTACCTTTATTTTTCATTTCCATCAGATGACTGTGTTTCATAAAATATATGTAATAATTTGATGAAATTTTGTTCTGCTGAGCCCTGGTTTTACGTAAACAAGATGGGATTTCTTCTTCCAAAATCTTTTGAATAGCTGCGAAAAGGTTTTCTTGATGCGGATTGATTCCAGTTCTTTTTAGTAAATATGGCAAATACTTTAAATTTGTATGAGACATAAGAATATCCCCTATTTTGGTGCAAGAATTACATATACTATAAGGTTTTAAATTAGTTTTTTGGTTGTTCACTGCCATGATTTAATTGTAAACAATTAGAAGCTAGAGAAAATGACTGTCAACGTGACGTATAGCGAAGACGATTTTGACATCACAAGCCTAAGCCTACTTGATTGCAGTTATGAATTTTTAAAAACCATTGATATATTGCCATAGACATCTGTTTTCCACAAAAACTTACTTTTCTTCTATTTTAGTAATACCAAGTGAATTGTGTTGCAATGATAAATATTTAAATTAAAAAATTAAATGCCTTTTTTATTACTAAAGTGAAAGGAATGTGTTTTTTTATGTTTTCATAAGAATCTTTGATAAACTGCCATAGACATCGCTTTTCTACAAAAACTTACTTTCCTTTTATTTTAGTAACTAAGTGAATTGTATTGCAAAGTAAATATTTGAATTCAAAAATAATCATCAGAATTTTTCTTTTTCATGTTAAACGCACAATCTTCAAAAATTGATACCACGCAATCATCGATATTGTTGGATCTTCAACATTGAAGGATCTTTCCGCACGAAAAACTAGAAACTGCCTCCATACGCTTAATTTCGACTTCTTCGTATTTTGGGGAGTTAAATTTGCCACTTTTATGTTTTCGGAATATTCATTTCCAAAACGAGCCATTTTTGAATTTAAAAAAACGCGTGAAATGCGATTAAATTATGTTTAAAAAGATAAAATTATGTCATGCACACAAAACAATGTTTACCTGTCAAGCCAATTTTATTTTGGCGAAATAAGTTTCAAAATAAAACATGTCAAATTTTTAAAATAAATTTTGGTTGTAAAATTTTCTTACCGAATCCCCCACGTCCTTGAATTAATGTCCGGAAATGTTTCCTCAATCACGCATTTTTCTAGAGAATTTCCGGAAATAATTCAAGCACTAGGGAGATTATAAGTGAACATATTGAACAATAATGGTGATATGCATAGAAAAGTATTTATTATTCGGTCATTATTTGTATGTAATTATTTCAAAACAAACTCAAATGGAATGCAACTCAGTATTTTTCTCAGGATGTGGTATAAAATCCTCCATTTCGTCATGTTTATAGCTTAAATAAATAAATAAACATTACATCGGAGAAACTTCGACATATTTAAATGCAAAAGTTAATGAATATCAAGATTATAGGTACCTACAGTGTTCTTAATTTGACTACCAAACTTCTATAGGATATTCCTTGATCAGAATTAATTCAAAGAATTCAATTGAACTAGTAGTAATTTCCGACTTCTTATGAAGAGGTAGCATAGCAGCTTAAATATAAAAAATACCTATTAGTCCATTGAAATGTTACATTTTTTTGGGCTTAGCGTGCAAAAGTCAGAGCACGCAATTTTATTTTTTGGATGTCAAGAGGGGGTTAGTGTAAAGTTAAATCCATTTTTGTGGGGTCGCAACCCTTGTGCATCGGCCGCCATCTTGTAAAAAGGGCTGCGAATGGTTTTTATACTACTATTTACTATATCGGGCAAACTATTCGTCGCACAAAAAATTTGTAAACACATTTTTTGTTGCAAATTAAATTCTCTACAAATTTGTCACATAACTTTTAGTCAT